ATATATGTATATGTATATATGTATGTATATGTATATTTTTATGTGTACAATATTTATATTATATATATATATATTAGATGTATATGAAGCATGCATTTATTGCGTGATTCGCATGTTTGTGATAGTATAAATACCGGTGTGCACGTTTATACAGGTGTATACGAGTGCTCTCGCGAATGTGTTTTCATTTGCGTGACCGCTGGTTGTGACAACATCGTTTACACATGACTCGCCTCTCCTATGTTTACCCCGTAGGCTCTGAGCCCTACCTCAAATCCGTTGTCATGGCAACGGGGAGTATTCTGTTTGAAGACAGTCGCATTCGCATCATGGTTAAAGACGAATACAAGACCAGCCAAGGCCGTCTGGCGCTGTACTACTTCAATAAGACATCCTCGACCTTTGTCAATACGCGCACACGTGTTCATTCGGAGGCCCCCGAGAGTTCTGGGCTGAGCGTTGAAGCCAAGCCCTGTCCTCCCGTGGTGGCACCAGGACAGCAAGTGTTCCAGGTGCATAATGGACTCCAGTGTGTGTGTTGACGTACGTATTCATAGTGTGTGAACTGTTCTGTAGTGACTATTGCATTGGTCCCCTCCTCGACCAGTGTCTGAGGTGCGAGCGCGTGTGCACTCTGATGCACTTCGGTACAACTATCTGCAGTCAGTTGAGTGTCGAGTGCGAGGCAAGCCTTCCGTTGCCATGCGAAGCACTGGCCCGGCGAAGCCTGAGGAGTTGCATGAAGTTGTGGGGAGGGGGTGGTTTTTTTAATGTGAATGCTCAAGGTGCTGTGTCGGGGTTCGTTGTGCCACTGCTGCACGACTGGATGTATATCCGCTTGATCGCATCCACTTGCAGTATATGATTCCTCGTACATTGCGGCCTATCGTCTGTATTACTGGTGTACGCACCCTGATGATGCACTTTCTTGCATTCGTCCGGCATTGCCCTTGTTGGACAATACTCTCTGAATGTTTTTGTTATGCTTGCTCTAAAGTTTATTTGTTTTGCTTACATACTTGCATTTGGCCGCCTGCCTCTCTTCCGTACAGGTCTTCCAATTTCAATGCACAAATATCTACATGAAGCCACCGTTGATGACACTCCTCTTCGAGTATGTACACATGCAGGAGAACGTTCGGGTTCATTCAGATCGCTTACGTACACGTAGACAACATCACTTTATGTCTAACCGCACCGGTGATATGTGCATCCCGCCTTCTGTGTGTGTGTAATTCTGAAATGTACCAATGTCCGTGTCCTGTTTCTAATGTGGGTGTTAGGATGCAGACGGTCTCGGTAGTATGAGACGTAGCCTATGTGTTGCGGTGTGTTCTAGATGCAGGCCTGTTTGAGTTTGTTAGTAATATTTGACACTAGTAGATACATCCGACTGCGCCCATGTCACCCTGCCTGTCTACCACCATAGCCCGTGCTCGGCATTGTGGCCCGTCGTCGATAGTACAACTTTAATTTCACGTACGCTCATCCCAAGTGTACCAGTTGTCAGTGTATCAGTACTCCTGGCCCAAGCCCCACATTACCTTAGACGTTCCAGATAGACGCCTACTTCGCCCTATAGTAATCCTGTCCAACTCACACTACAGGGCCAATGGTGCGCCACAGTCGCTAGTCATCCGCTTGCCAGTATACATCGCGCAGTTCCTCAACCCGTTCAGCATGGACAAGGCCCAGTTTGGCAGCAGGTGGCAAGCGCTGGGAGGGTATGTTCTGCCACATAGGCCTATATCGCACTAGATAGCCGGTAATAGGATGTACGCGTGCTTGTGCAGTGAGAGTGTGCGGGTGTGGGCACCAGCAAATGGCACGCGGTGGTGTTGTATGTCACTGCTATGTTTGTTTGTTGTATCAGTTGCTAGGTGAGATTGATGCGTGCATGGATGAGGCAAGAGTATTGGTATACATGGAGCCTTTGTGGTTTGTTGCTGAACCGATACTCATCGATACTATACAATGATGTCCATTTCCCACACAAATAAATCCCAATTGTAGTCCTAGATCGGGCTGGTACCCATCACTTCATTGGCTTTACCCCCGACACGAGTGTGTAACAGCTGAGCAAGCTTATGCCCAACTTACAGTAGTGCGTATTTCTCACTCATCGACTGACAAGTTTCCAATTGGAGGTCCATGTCTTACTTTTCTTCTCCATGCGATCTCGTATGGTAGTTACTGTTAACAATCCACTGCACAAGTACAATACTCTGCCCTGGCTTACGCCGGATGTGTGTAAGCTATAGCACACCACTGCTACCTACTCATAATCTCATGTACTTGTTATCTTTACTACCCCTCATCAACAAACAAACAGACCTCAATTAGAGGCACAGGTTGTTTTCTCGCCAACGGCTGGCCTTACCCCAGCCATGTGCAAGCAACAACTGAGCACGCTTAAGCTCACTGTGCTGGACGGGGTAGATCCAAACAACGACAATATAGTAGCCGCGGGTGTCATTATGAGCACTGTTGGCCAAGTGGGTGTTCTGGTGCGTTTGGAACCGAATGCGCAAACACAGGTGCGTGTTCTTGTTCTACAACTTATAACTATCTGGTCTTGCGTGTGGTTGTGCCAGGTTATAGTAGCTGTAGGTGTTGTCGGCACGGTGGCGCAAGTGGCTTTTCTGGTGCAGTGATAGCTGAATCTGCTGCAAAGAGTTTGTGCGTGATGAATGGGAATTGGTATCGCACCGAATTTGCTAGTCAATGTTGTAGCATTTTTCATCAGCTCTTTGTGTCATGCGCGTTGCCTGGCAGTTTGGAATCCAAGTTGCAAATAGAGATGCGTGTGTTGTGACTTGTATATCTGATTATGCTTGTATGCTACGTTGTCTAATATCATCACTACCTTTTAATTGTTCGGTTGTATGAAACTTTTGGCTTTCAGTCGATTGAACACCCGCCCCTACTTCACTCTCCGTTTGCAGAAATGGCGACTCACCTGTAGGGGATCCAAACCTTTGTTTGCCGGCAGCTTAGCAGTTGTCTTGCATAGCTTCTTATAATAAATAAAATGTGAAATTGCATCTTCGGACGCGGCGCCCGGGTGTAACTTGTGCAATTCGAATTTAAGTGAGTATTTAGCATACACTAGTAGCATGACGGTCATTTTTATAACTGACTCGCGTCTCCGTCTCAATAGCCCAATTCTTTAAAGCGGTCATATATTGGGCACCATACGTACGCAAGGTTGAAAGCGTCAATGATTCAATGATTTTTATTATTCGAGGAAATACTGGGCTCAAATGATTTTAAGTATTGCGCATTCCGAAAATTACACGTCACATCGTAGAAGCTTGGTTGGCCCACTAGGTAGACTAGGGGGGGGGGCTGTGTAATATGTTATGAAACAGGCTAGTTTGTGTATCGAGAGCGTAGGTACGCGATATCTATTACTCTTGATGCCAATAAAATTCCATAGAACTATCAGTCTAACATTTATAGAAAGATGTACAATTCTGCCGAGTGTCTGTTCGCGTATAGTCCGGAAATCATACAGTATTTGACATGTAGCGCAATGCAGGAAAATATACAGCAGTGTTGTGCCTACGAATCTGTTGGAATGCCACACAAAGAAGCGTCATTGTTTAGCCACAACTCAATCGCAGGGAGGCAGTTCGATGCAGAAACAAGTCACACCCGTACATGTACCTGATATCGTTGCATTTGTTCTACGGTCACACGCGGTACGAGACTCGTTCAGGGCATGATCACCACCTAATATGCTGAGCTATGAGCCACGCTGAGGGATTGTGAGACACGGGAGTGTTCTGGTGCTGATTTTAGAAACATCACGTCAAGTGCATACATGCAGACAACAGATCAGTTCTCCAGTAAAACTAATCTACACATAGTGCATCAATTGCTAGTCTGATAGTATACATACAATCTCGTACTAGGAAGCCAAAACAAACCAGTATTCAATATAACCAGTACTCAATATTATCTTGATAAGCTATATTCCCTATCATCGCTTGAAATCGCTAAAAGCTTCCTGAGGATAGTATCAAATATACGCTGCAATGTTTGATCGATCGTCAACAAACACAGCTTTGCGGTCGAGATTCAATGTGTTCGTAAGTACGACCATCGTTTACAATGGAGAATTGCCCTGATTGTCCGACTCCAACCTGTGCTACCTTACTGTAATTTTTTTTATTCATAGATCAGACATTTTTGAAACGACTTGTGTTAATGAAACGTATGGCTGCACTGGCTGTGTCGAATTGGGAATATCTTGGCACCATTCGTCATCATCTTCACTATCGCAGTCACTTTCGTATCCACTTTCAGTATAGTCGCTTGTGTAGCTGACTGTATCGTCAAGATCACTTAGAGACCAGTCCATATTAGTTGTGTATGAAGTATCATCCGGCACCTCATCTTTATGCTGCGCTGCTGCTCGATTCTTTGCGTCGATATCTGCCCACCATCTCCTAGCCAGAATTGTACGGGCCAAATGTGACCTCGAACTTCTCTCACATGCGCCTATGTCGAGCAACTCAATTTCGCTCATTTGTAGCAAGCTCTCTACTTGCTTGCGGAGATATGCGTGCCTTTTATCTGCATTCTCATTCTCAGTGAATTGATACTGCTGAGAGTTGATAGACAATAACATTTTTCTTAAAGTCCTTGAACAAGTATGCGAAAAGAATACATAAACTCGAAAGCTTTATAGTGATATCATGTCACCTGTGATTTACTGATGTATATAACGGATAGAAAGCAGCATGCTGATCTCCAGAGGATTAGAAGAGGAATTCTCAGATCGCAAGAAACTGTCGCCCGTTTAGTAAGCTAATAATCGACATTTATGAATGTTAGAAAAATGTGTTTCTTATTTTTATACATTTACACAGCCAGGGCCCCCTGGCCCAGAGGGACGTTTCAGTTTTTGAGAAGTTTAAAAATAGATACATATTTGAGATTTGTTTGATACAGATATACTGATTAACAAATATATGAAATGTTTCATACCACCTCATTTCTATCTCGAAAAAAAGACACTCGATGACGATTTCATAACAGATACTCACACAAGTGATAGATTTCACGAAAGGGAAACTGGGAAACTGGAAAAGTGATCCGGTCTCAAGGATCCGCTCAGGGGGGTCATCATCAGTCATCACTCATCAAGCTGAAAATTATTGAATGGCTAGAAAGGCAACAACCTGAGGCGAAAGCCAATAAATAGCTAGAATTTTAGGAACGGAATTTTTCAATATTTTTTTTTACCTTCTATAGATCTGGAGACTGGGTCACTGGAGTGCTGGCCGCCTGACCTACAACTACTATAACAATATATATATATATATATATATATA